TTAAAAAACGATTCTAAGGTCTCGTTACACAACTTAATGACGAAGGTGTAATTTAACGTAACGAATCTGTTTGTTTAGTAAGGGTTTTACGGTGCTCGAAACTGCACAAGGTCATATGAGCTCGCACAAATATGTTATTGAAATACGAATTTTCTTTCAGATCATTGATTTCAAACTGCAAAATAATACTTCTTTCAGTAGTCTGAATACACCAAGTGATGTTTGAAGTGCAATAAAGATCTAATCTTGAGCAAATGTCAAAAGGTAAGTGAAATACCAAGTGATAATCAGACTCTATTTAATTTGTTCATCTTCCTTGGTGATCAGGGGAGAGTACAGGTGTGACATCACACCTAACGACCCCTGCTGCACACCGAGAGAAATGTCTGGAACAATTGCATGTCGGACCGGAGCGGCGCGTGTTTGACAAGGGCAATGACAATGATAATGAATATGATAATGAATATGATAATGACAATGATAATGAATATGATAATGAATATGATAATGAATATGATAATGACAATGATAATGAATATGATAATGAATATGATAATGAATATGATAATGAATATGATAATGAATATGATAATGAATATGACATTCTTTATTCATCTCGAAGAAGTGAAAAAACTCATGATGTATGCAGACTGGCGAGAGGCAATACAAAGCAGCAGACTCACAAGGATTGTATGGATCTTTAGCCCTGGTCATTCAGGAATTCAAGGCAATGAACGTGCTGATAAACTAGCTGGTCAGGCTGAGATTGGCGACACCATGCAATTAGATATACCACTAGTAATGGGAGCAGTGACAGCATGGTTCAACGACCACAGAGAGGATGAAGGCTCCACTTCACACACAATGGATAGACTAAGGGAAGCTGGTGTCTCTAGAGGGTCTGGGAGAGATAGCTACCTGCGTGGAAAAGCTAGAAGAATATCCAACCTGGCACGATCAGAAAGCAAACCCTTTCATGGATCCTGGAGAGGAGGGAGGAGCAGCCACGGCATTGTGCCGCCTGCAATGATGCCTATTCTCCAATTAAGTAAGTAAGTAAGTAAGTAAGTAAGTAAGTAAGTAAGTAAGTAAGTATTCATCTCGCAGAGAAACATTTGTTTTGGTCGTTTACAATGGCAGCGGATTATACAAATGCTAGGTGCACTCATGAATAAGCACAATAAGACAGGACGTTGGTAAATACACGTCTCACGTGCTGAAACAACCTGCTCTGAACTCTCTCTCTCTCTCTCTCGCTCTCTCTCTCTCTCTCTCTCTCTCTCTCTCTCTCTCTCTCTCTCTCTCTCTTTCTCTCTGTTTCAATTGTAGCACTGTGTATTCAGTAACCTCACTGCTGTTGATACGTATGAATTTCTTTTCTGTCTGTTCTTGCTTTTTTTGGAAATACATGTACATGGATATCATTTATCGCAGGTCGATAATTGAAATTCCTATGTCAGTGGGTGGCTATGGTCACGTAACAATATGTCCATCTTTTTTTTAGAAAGGTTTGTTTTGAGCAGATATTTAAAGTTACTTAGATCTCTACCAATTGACTTGTACTTGATACCTTTCTGATCAACTTGTTTATTCTTATCATGTGCTGTTTTCCCGAATTGTTACCATTGCAAGAGATACCAAAATACATTCATCAAAGTTTCTAATGTGGTTTTTGTTTTTTGGGGTTGTTGTTGTTGTTGGGGTTTTTTTTGGTAAGTCTTTTATGGCGCTCGATGTTAGGCCACCGAAGAATATTGAATGTGCGCAACGTGCACATGGGACCTCCGAGATTTTTAGCTCTTGTCCGAGAAGGCTAAGTGTAGATCTTTCCTATCATAAGGGTGTGGCTGAGAGACAGCAGTAAGAAGGAGCCAGGGAGTAGCAGTAGAAAGGCTGCAGAAAGAGTCAGGAGCCCAGACGAAGGGGCAAAGGAGGTGAGGGGGTGGGGGCAGAAAGAGGAGATGAAAGCAGATGACTGAATATTGCTAGAGAGCAGGAAAGGAGGTAAAAGGAGTCTATTTTAGTGAAGAAACTTTGTCCGTCGCTACCCGGATCTGAACCTGGGACCTATGAAAGAGAGGCGAATCCCTCAATTTCTGGACCATGAGAGCCCCCTGAGGTGTTTGTTCATCAGTAAGAGTTTTTTGGCACACGTTTAAGGTCATCATATGGTCGCTTTTGAGGACAAGCGGGCTAACCAAGATTTCGGATGTTTCAGAAATCTTGACATACACCAAAAGTGAGCAATCCTTACCTATAGGAGAAGTTTGGTTTCTATGGTGTGTATATGTGTTTGGTTATAGAGAAAACCCTACTTGTTTTTTAAAGAAACTGAACAAGGGTCTAAAAACTTTACCTTCGATTTTCTCAAAACAGCATTTTTTGGGACAGCCCCCTTGTGCTTAAAAGCGACTGTATGAGCGCACCGGACTCGGGGTTAACAATGTGAAGAGTGGTGGGGAATCGGGGCTGTTTTCCTTCCTTTGATCTGTTGTTTTTATTCTTATTTTTGTATTTGTTTTTTTTTAACGTGTTTTTTTGTTTTGTTTCAGTAAGTGTTTTACAGCACTTGCAACACAATAAGGTCATAAAGGTGCCGAAGATTATAGGCGTTACAAGAGAGTAACAAACACAAAAATGAAGGAGGGGAGATAAAGACGATAGATGTTTGATAGGAAAGAAGGAGCAAACCACACCAGAGCACCCGCCAACCACCCACTTTTAAACCTGTGTCTTTTTCGAAGATAATGTTTGAAGCAGCTTGACCTTGACCCTATCTATGGCTCGAGCTGATTTAAGCAAATATTTGCAGTAGAATGGTGAAGCCTTGCTTCGAATAATAAGCTTATGTGAGGTATAACTGTAATGAATGAAATCAGACGTTCGTCAAAATAATGAAACGGGAAAAAAAACATTGGCATTAATCTGGCGGTTGCTCAGTTGTTGTTTTTTTTTTCTCAAATTTTCAGTTTTTGGCTCAACACCTTTTACGTCCATTAAAAAAATACATTTTGTGTATATTTGTATATTTTATTCAGAAACGTTGATCAAAAGCACAAAAAATTGCAAATTTGCAGTTTCCAAGGACATTCAAGCTTTGGAAAGAAGATCGGGCTTGTAAAGCTCAACGGATCGTTTCTCGAAAAAGAAGGCTTTTCGGTTCATACTAAGAATTAAATTTCGGAGCAGCAAAAAATATTTTTGATTTATTGCTCTGAAATTTGGGGTACCAAAAATTGGGACGTGATTGATAATGTTCGGGTAAAGTTCTGGAAAGCCTTCCTGGGTCGTGGCAAAGCTACACCCAAATGTTTAGTTCTAAGAGAAGTGGGAAGAACCAATTTATGTTCTGATTGCATGCATTGTGTCAAAAAATTATGGGGCAGACTAATATACTTAAAAAATGACAGATATCCAAAAATGTTACACGCCATTCTATCAATTCTGTGAACAGGGCAGAGTCAATTGGTCTACTGAAGTTAAAAAAAACAAACTATTACTTTCCCTGAGTTTTGGATATATCTGGTTTTCTCAAAGTGTTGGAAGTAGTTGATTATTTCTCAGTGAAGTAAAAAGTAGGATGTTAATCATTCTGTGCAGATAATAGAGGAATAAATCTGTCCCAAGCATAATTTATTCTCTCTTACAACTCCGTTAAAAAAAACAGCGGAGTATATCACCAACCTCCCACAGTTTTGGAACAGAAGAGTCACAGCCTTGTTAAAAACTCATAGCCTTCAATAAAATAACAATCTCTATCGGTGGAATTTAATAAATTCACACTTATGTGAGAGGTGTAACTACCGTGTAACTCTAAAAAAACTGAAGACGAATTTCACTTTTTTTTTTCTATTGTCCATACTTTATCCATCAAAGGAAATTGCTAATTCCCCCTAGCCTGACTCGGCCCAG